AAGGAAGCGTCACCTTGCCTTTTTTTGTCCTGGTTTAGTTAGACATTTTGAAGAGCAGCATTGCAGTAGATGCACACTGTATGTATGCTGATGCATGTGTGGAAATGCATGCTTTCAACTATGCTGTACAGCACGAACATCTCTACTTTTTTTTTTTTTTTGATGGCATGTGCAAGGTCAGGCAGGTCTGCAAAATTTGGAGCAGGTGAAGAAAGGGAGATGTGCATGAACCCTAATGAAGAAGTGAGTGAGTGGTGGAGCTCAGGAGAAGGAAGTGTGAGGGACAGGAAGAAGAAACTGGAAGAGAAAGAATGCAGCGTAAGAGAAGAGACAACCCAGCTCAGAAGTGAGAGCTATGGGTTGGAAATGCTTCAGAGAGACTCAGTTTTAATTAACTCACTCTAAATCTGGCTGGGAATGTATTCTTACAGTTTTTAAGATTATGTTTTTTACCTCAGGATAACATTGAAGTTGTCTTTCTGAGATCTGTATGGCTTGTACTTCATTGAGTGGCCAAGTATATGGGGCTTGATAGGATTGATTCTGGGAGGTGGTAGGCTCCATACATGAAGTGGGGAAACCGAATGACCTGCAGAGAATTCTGAAGCTTCTGGCTTTTTCTCACCCTCTCCATTTCCAGGGCTTATGATCCCAGGAGCAGAGAGTTCCAAAGAATGACATTGCCGTCTTGCCCAGGGAGTAAAATGCCTCGTGAACCCATGCAGGTGTGCCAAGGTGAGAGGTATAAAATGCACAGAAGGAGAATTCTGCACAGTGACTCTTTGCTCTTCTCAATTCCTACTTGTGTACTGGAAGATCACTGTTTCAGTCAGGAGGCCTAAAATTGGTTTTATTTTATCGTTTATCATATCATAGGTTTACCTATAGCTTCCAGATTTGTGCACTGCCATCTTACCAGACTGGAATGTTGAACACAAGAGTAGAGCCTCTCTATGACCACTCCCTACAGCAGTGTTTCTCAGCCTTGGCAACTCTAAGATGTGTGGACTTCAATTTTCAAAACTCTCCAGCCAGCATGGCTGGCTGGGGAATTCTAGGAATTGAAGTCAACATATCTTGGAGTTGCCAAGGTTGAGAAACACTGCCCTACAGTAATCCAGTTTTGTTGTGCAAGCCATCATTCTAATTATGAACCATCTTTGTGGGCACAAACTGGAACCCTGCAGGAAAGTAGCCCCACTCTGCCTACAGAAGGCAGTTGATGGTTTATGCAGGCAAAGCCAGAGTCTTGCCAAAATTCAGTCCCTCTGTTCTTGGACAAATCAGATGGCTTGCCAGAACTCATCCCCCTTTTGCATAGACAGACTTCTGCAGGCAGAGCTGAACTATTGCACACATTTGTCCGCTCTGCCTGGACAAGCTGGCAGCAGGGCTGGGTTCTGATAGGACTCTGGGGTTGCATATGTAAAGGATAAAGGATAAAGAGCTCTTCTGACATAAACTGGTAGCTGGCAGACTGACTATTACCAAAGCGAAACTTATTAGTTTTATTTGTAAGGAGGTGTCTCAGAAATTCATGTTATCAGTTTAGGGGCACAGCATCTTTGGTTTAGTGTGATATGTGAACCCACACACTGTAACTTACAAATTATAGTCAGTCTCCTCATGCAGTGTGAATCCAGTCAGTTGTGACTAATCAGCAATTCCTGGCTGAAAAGGTTATGACTTAGTGCAATGTGGAATCTAGTCACATTCTACCCAGACTGGCAGTATCCTAGAAGGGATTAATAGGTAATCCTGCTGCTGTTGCAGACTCCATGGAAGACAGTGAAATGAAAAATACACTTGAAATAAGAAACAAGAAAGTGTATAAAATATAAAATAGACAATAGAAAAATATAGGGTTAACATTCAGTACTGCCTGGACATGGAAATTGGAAATTAACCTTCCCAATTAATTTTTCCTTTCAGAAAAATGCAGCATTGTGCAATCCCTTGAAAGAGGTGTTTCACAAGGCCCAGAAACACATACAAAGCACCTCTTCTCATTGTGAAAGCAGCTACAGCTTTTTCCAGGCTCTCTCACCTGTTATGGAAGTGTCTCCTGGCAGTCTCTGCATATATGTGTGGAGCCCCGCTCCCCATCAAACCATAAGTTGGGGTCACTTGGAAGTTGACTTCATAATGGACACACCACCACAGAAAATCAGATTTTTCAAACAGAAGATAGAATTCTTAAAGAAGGACACCCTCCCCCCCGCCCCCATACACTTTCACTCCATATCTCTAGCATTTTGGATGCATACTGCATGCTATAACTAAAGGAGGTTGTGTTATGAATTTGGAATGTGGTTCCTAAAAGCATGTTTTCAGTAGACAGTGACAGTCACTTTGCTATTGGAATTACTAAATAGCTGCTTCTAGCAATTTGCTATGCTAAGCCTATCTTTGTTTTCCACAGTTTAGACAGGTCAATCCTTTCCTATTTCAATAAAAAACAAATCATTTTGCACAAAATAATTGCATCGTTCAAACATACTCACTACAAAGCTCTCACAAATGGTGAATGCACACATACTGATGGTAAAATCTCCAAAGTGAGACAAATTCTTCTGAGAATATATTATGCAGAATTTCAGACTTAATTAATATGGTAGTTGTTTAGCTATGGGGAATGTTTATTTTTTGTTCTTTTATTATCAGGTACATTAATATTCCTGCTTCTAACACAATTGCTTCAACCCAGATGAAATTGATCAAATTGACCTGAAATGATGGGAGTTATAAATCAACATAT